CCATATTTCTGGAGGTCTGTCACTTTAGCTAGCACAGCTAGCTGTATAGTGTGCATTGCTGATCGGTATTTGGGCAGCACATTTGCAAGGATCCAGTATACAGCACAAAGTTTGTAGATTTTACGTGATGTGCCAAGAGGGTTAGCAATTTCAAGCTCATCAATATATAGCTGGATTGCTAGGTGTAGATCTTCTGTTGAGAGTAACTAATTTTCATGGAAATGAGAGCCATCATGAAATGACACATAACCTGGTTCAGTGTTTGGTTGTCTGATCTTGCTAAGGATGTTTGTGTTTTTAAACAGTTCCTGAATCATTTGAAGGATTGGAACCTACATAATGCTATGCCCAGGTGGCTCTAAATGGTACTCTACTGGCATTATCAATGGATAGTTGTGCTCTATAAATGTCTTTCTTCGCTTACAAGAGGACAACTCTGCACCTTTGGAGGTAGCGCTAAATACAACATTAGAGTCCATGACAGCACTGACAACTACATTGAGTGTGGAATCTGTATTACTGTGACCATATCTCTGCAATATATCATTAATTTCCTCCTTGATCAATGGCTCGGATAAAGAGAAGATCTGATTCAAGTGGTCCACTATTTCTTGTGTAGCTGTGTTTGACACATGAAGGATAGCCTGCATCTTTAAAAATAAAGAAGCTGCATTAAGTTTGAGCTTATTTTTTAGTTTCAAAGTATCACACTGCTCATCATCTTCTTTTTCTGTTCTCTGAACTGGACACTCATCATACAAATCACCAGTGATGTCAGAGCTAGTGGCTTGGAGATTCCGAGTATGCTTATAGACAATGTCATTACAAAAGTCTGATGCAAGACTCGCTTGGTGCACTCTACTTTTATGGGAATTAAATGAAGAGTATACATTTGTGCTATTGTTACAATCTTTGTATGGGAATACCACTGTTTCATGCTTTTTTAAGTGTGTTTTTATGTGTCTGTGGAGTACAGACTCAGAAAAAAGTTGCTGAAATGTGCATAAAGGGCACTTGAATGTCACAGATTCCTGAATCTGCCCTGCACTGCTGCTATGTTCTAAAGTATGGTATCTTGACAAATGAGTACTCAGTGCACTAAGTGTCTGAAATGTACATATGCAATCATCATGGAGGCATGGCAGTGGGCTAATTCTTGAAAATTGGCTGTGCTGCAGTCTACAGTGTTTAAATAAATATGTTCTAGTGGTGAAAAAAGCTGAACAAAACTTACAGTGCCAAGTCATATTCGGGGCAGCAACCTGAAAACTCAAGAAAAAAGATTTTTTTACATGACATCTGCCATTAAGTTTAAACCTCCATCAGAATTAACCAAAACTGCAGTCATATTCCTCATACTAGTAGAGTACAACTAAATACACTAACATTGATTAAAACAAAGCAGATGTATAAGCTACTTGTTAGACTGTTCAATCTGCAAAATCACTTGTAACAAAAAAAAACTTATAAGTGGCAATATAGTGTCCCACTCATAATTCCTTTCAGCAGAGGCGTAAGGAGCAATGCCCTTGTGGGCGTGCATTTGCACAAAGATCTGAGGAATAAAGTTGACTAAGCAGTTCTCATGAAGGCTCAAATTACTTCATGTAGAACAGTCCCCCTCCCTCACCTTTGGTTTTATAAATGATACAGTATGTGTTATGCTAACACTGCTACACAACAAGACAGTTGCTTTCGAATGAAACAGTCCCTCCAGGAATTCGCTATTTTCACTTTCACATAAAACGATCAAATCAAACCATGGGGTGGGAAGGGGGTTGCTGACGGTGTTGAGTCTCATATATGTTTGAGTTATGAATGCTTGCTCATTTAGCGATGTAGCATTTATCAGTACCTAACAAATTAGCTATATAATGCTGATAGACAACCTAGGATCATTAGCTAGCTAGAAAGCATTCATAACTCAAACATATCTAATCATACAGGACAAGAGAGTTATCACTTATCCGTGGAGACTGGTGAACAAAAAACACTTCGTCAAAACTATGTAGAAAGTTGAGCTGGCAGCAGGTGCTGCTCAGCACCCAATGTGGCCCAGGCCAGCCGGGTTAGTTAAACTTGGGGAGAGATTTAGCGGTAACGTTAGCGGGAGCTAATCAATGGGCCAGAGATACAGTAGCACCTCCGGCGGCATCTGTATTGTTCCCTGAAGCTAAGGAGCTAAAGGAAAGTGTGTAAGCGCTTGCAGATATCATGCATGCACATTTATACTGTACAGCACTCCCTGGCGAAAATAAGTTCCTGCGCACATGAAACAAACACCACGTCAATCAACAAGCATTTTTCCTTGCAGTTTGAATTTAACACTATCCTCACAATTATAGGTTACATGAAACTCCGCAAATTGCTAGTCTTATTTTGATTAAAGCCACTGCAAAATTATACATTTTTTAGCAATCACAAACAAAACGAATTCCATTTTATTTAACCAGTTAATTTCACTTACACGGGTTAAGCCAACGTGGCTAAGGTATAACACCTGGTGCTATCATTAGCATTCTGCTTTCACTCACAACGCTGGCACAGCTCCAACACTGATTTCGAATTTTTTCAACTACATCCCGACTTTGCTTGTTAGCTTAATTGCTAACCTAACCGTTAGCAGTGTTACATGGCTAATGTGACTCACGTTGTCCGTTTAAAAACACGTTGAACCTTCAAACAAACATTTAAACAAGTTTTATGTTGAATACTTACAATTAATCCGATGGCGCCGAGAGTTAACGAACCTCTGCAGTCTCCGCTCTGCTCCACTGTCTGAAGAGGAAGTGCACGCAAATACTACAAAATAAAATTGTGTAGATACTTCCGGTAGAGAAGAGAGACGAGTCAAGGCGAGAGTACCAACTCTTTAGGAGTGTATAAGAGCCGACTTTTACATGATTTTAACATCACTTTTTATTCATGTTCCCAGATGTTCTCAAAAGCATAGAGTGAGTGGCTTGAGGACCACCCCCTCACCACCCTGTATCTGTATCTGTATATATATATATATATACACACACATGTATAGTATAATATTCTAATGTTAACCGTATCTTATTTAAACGTGTAATCAATTTATCCTTTCAAAATAAGACAAAAAAACCATGTTTAAACTGTAGAGTTTTGAGTAACTATGAATTAATTATTTAATATAGTGGTTACATAATCCGTCAAAAAAGTTTACATTAATCAAAAATTATCAGTTTAATAAACACAAAAGAAGGAAAATGCTACTGGCACTCAACATTTTTAAGTTAGTCGAAATTTTAACAAATTTTAAGTTTACACTACTTATTCCAATTAATTAATTTGAGCATTCGGGTTTACAGTGTACACTGATAGTATAGATTTGATACCTAACATCTTTAGCAGAGATGGTCTCATCTCACTCTGAGCCTACAACAAACAAAAAGGCCAAAATACTGAATCTGCCTGTCGCAAAGAATGTCTTCTCCAATTTCAAAAAAGGTAACACTTAAATTGTATTACTGTGGCCCCAAAGATGTGGTGAGAAACTTTAGGTGCACCTAAATGAAAAAGTTAAGTGCACCAGTGCCACAACCAATGTAAAAAGTTAGTCTGCAGGATTCAGGGGTGGAAGTAATGAATTACATGAATTTACTCTTGTTATTGTAACAAACTTGTTGTTTTTTCTGACTTTAAAGAATTTTCTGAGAAAAAAGTCAGAATTCAAAAATATTTTTTTTCACATGTGGCCCTAATCCTCTTCCATTCGTATGTTACTGGTATCACCATGTTTGTTACCCCTCCTCTTCCCCCTTTTAAATCTAACACAGTAATGTTTACTCAGAGTACATTATAACTGATGTACTTTGTACTTGTATCTGAATACATTTTTACACAAGTAACTTTACTTGTGCTTGAGTACAACAGTACTCTTTCCAGCCCTGGCAGCCCTGTCCTCACTGTTAATAGTTGAATTTGATCTGTTTTTGTGTGGTAGGAAAACAGCATATTCACATATAAACAAAGTCTGACATCAACAATGGCCTACATCATGCTGTGTACCGTGTCACATATAGAAAATCCTGGCACAATAAATAACACAACAAATCAATGATGCTTGTTTTTTCCAGATCTCTAGATAACTACCAGCTTCATTTCTTTTCTAAACTACTGGAAGGAGTCGTGTCTCAGCAGCCTTCACTCTACAAATCTAACAGTAATCTTTCTGAACCCTGTCGGTCTGCCTTCAGGACCTGTCAGTGTCAGCCCACTGAAACTGCTCTTACTAAAGCAAGTTACTATTAATTCAGATCCCATCTCTATGCTCCACTTTCTGGATCTCAGTGGAACTTTTGATACCGTAGATAACTTTTACACTCCTAGACCGATTGGAAAACTATCTTGGCGTCTTTGGCCTGGCTCTCACTTGGTTAAAATCCTAATTAACTGACAGAAAGTTCAAAGTATTTTTATTGTCTAAAGTCAGTCAGGTTTTCATCAAAATACCAAAACATTTGGTGTCTAAGTCTCACCAGTTTAGCACTGATGAAAAGTTTTAATTCATTGGTGACAATGTTGAAATGATAGACTGACGTTGCATGTTTCAACAAATGTGAACAAGGTTTTGATTGTTTAAGAGGCTTTTGCAGGGCTGATTTAGTGTCATTAACTGTTCTGAGAACTGCATGAAGAGTTGTGAGAATGATGTTTCTGATGAGTGAATCGCATGAAAACGATTAATAAAAACTGTATCATAGGATATGAGCAGCCCTGGCAGCCCTGCCCTCACTGTTAATAGTTGAATTTGATCTGTTTTTATGAGGTAGGAAAATAGCACATTCACATATAAACAAAGTCTGACATCAACAATAGCCTGCATCATGCTGTGTACCGTGTCACAAATACAGAAAAACCTTGCACAATAAATAACACAACAAATCAATGATGCTTGTTTTTTTTTTTTTGCAAAAGTTTGAACAGTTTAAAAAAGCAGGATACTCAAAAGTTGTTCAGCAAAATCAACTCACCGGTCTTCAGCATGACAGGCTGAAGTCAGAGGCTTTGCTCTGACAACAGGTGCCTGGTACTTCTGAAGAACAAGATGCACCCTTATATCTTTATTCAGACGCTGTCAACAAGTCCATACACGCTCAGGAAGTTTATCACTATCTGTGCTGGCCCCTTTTACGGATCAGTTAAACCTGTTTCTCTGAAATGATGCGATGGCAGAATTATTACCATGTCTGTCTAAGTTCATTTTATTCATCAAGACAGAACAGAATGTCCTCATCCATATTCATCCATAACTGTAATATGTACTGCTCCCAGCATCAGACCCTGACCACCTGTTTGGCAGTAACTTACCATAAGTGTGTGTCACTGCTCAGGAGACTTGATTGAGATTGAGGTTTGGTGATATGTTTACTGTATGTTGTATTGATGTTGATACTCAGAAGGTGATAACAGTTTTATCAGTCACTTATCAGCACTATAATCATGCAGCACCTGAGTTCACCTGTCTTCAACCAAAATGGAAGGAGTCAGAAGAAGAAGAGTGAGGGTGAGAGGGGGAATCCGTGGCGGTGGAGAAGGAGGTAGAGGAAGAGGAAGAGGCGGAGGCCGTGCCAGAGGTAGAGGCAGAGGTGGAGGAAGAGGAAGAGGAAGACCTGAAGCAGGAGGAGAACATGCTCAAAGAAGAAGAGGACCAAATTTATCAAATGAAATTCACTAGTTGACCACGTTGTCCCTCATACCAATATGGGCCCTTACAACAAACCTCACATTCTCACATTTTTGGACCAATTGCACAAGATCGTCACAGCAGTAAACCAAATGCACCAGATGCAATACATTGTCATCAACACCATCCAAAGTTTACATTACTATACCTTCCACCATACTCTCCGTTTCTAAACCCAATCAAAGAGTTTTTCTCTGCATGGCGGTGGAGGGTTGACGATCTCCGGCCCCAGGCTCAGGTACCCCTCATCCAGACCATGGAGGAGGCCTGGGACCAAATCTACGCTGCAGCTGTGCAAGGATGGATTCGACATTCAAGACGGTTCTTCCCACGTTGTCTTGCCGATGAGGATATCGCCTGTGATGTTGATGAAATTCTCTGGCCAGATCCAGCTAGGTGAAGAGATAATGTCTAGTATTTTCTGTACTGTATTGTACTGTCAGATTTTATTTTTTTTACTGTAATTGTAACCTGTGCTGGACACAGTATTATATGTTTGTCTGATATTTGCTGAGCTGACAGTGTTATGCACACGACTGTAGTAGCATGAAAACTGGGACATGTTTTGTTGTGATTCTCCATGTTGACATGTTGACTGATTTGGGTGTATGGAGAGAAATGAATGATATTTTCATCAGCACTGGTCTTGTGTAGTGTTTGGTGAATTTATTGTATATTTGCACTTCCTCTGTGTACTTCACCTACAGTGCCCTAATCACTGAGAAGTATAATTTCTAAAAGTGTTTCAGGTTAAGCACAGCAGTGTGTAACTGGTTCAAACAGAATTAAGTCATATGAAACGTGTGTTTCATATGCTAACAAAATATGGTTTTTATAAATTAGTATTTCGTTTTTACAAGAGTGTTTCATTTTGTGAAGGATCTGAGGTGTTCTGCTAATTGGGTGTGTGGTTGTGCTAATTGTGTGTAAAGTTTTGAAAAACCGGGCCCTGTTTTCCAAATTGTGCTTGAGCAATCAAAAAAAACTGTAACACATTAAAGTGATAGTTGGGGTAATTTGACGTGGGGTTTTGTGAGGGACTTATCTACAGTCAGTGTATTACCTGCAGTAGATTCACATCAGTTTAGAGAAGCAGCAGGAGCACCGGCACAATAGCTGTATGATGAGCTGCTTTGGATAGGTTCATCAGCAAAAATGTATTTTAGCCACCTTAAAGAATATAATTACTGCCTCACAGTTGTATGCCTCTTGTCTGCCATTCAGACTAGTACCACTAGTTTCAGATTACATCCCTGTTTATCCACTTAACCATTTGTACAAAATGTTGTCATAATTGCTGTGTGAAGTCTAGAGTAATGGCTAAAAGTGTTTTGTGAGGTCACCGTGACCTTGGCCTTTGACCACCAAAGTCTAATCCGTTCGTACTTGAGTCCAAGTGAATGTTTGTGCCAAATTTGAAAGGATTCCCTTGAGCAATTCTTGAGATATTGCATTCACAAGGCCAAAACCACGTTTTGCGAGGTCACTGTGACCTTGACCTTTGACCTTTAGCAACCAAAATCTACTCAGTTCATTCTTGAGTCCAGGTGACCGTTTTTACCAAATATGAAGAAATTTCCTCAAGGTGTTACAGAGATATTGTGTTCACAAGGCCAAAACCACGTTTTGTGAGGTCACTGTGAAATTAACCTTTGACCACCAAACTGTATACCGTTCATCCTAGTGAATATTTGTGCCAAATTTGAAGAAGTGCTCACATGACCCTTGTCTTGCAGATCGTCTTTTGAGAGTTTGCTGCCACAGAACAAATTGTTCTGCACAACATGACAAATCACATGAAAACAAGGTGAGCACTCACACATATCAGTGGCTATTTTTAAGCACGTGAGTCCCCCTGCTCATATCCTATGATACAGTTTTTATTAATCGTTTTGATGCGATTCACTCATCAGAAACATCATTCTCACAACTCTTCATGCAGTTCTCAGAACAGTTAATGACACTAAATCAGCCCTGCAAAAGCCTCTTAAACAATCAAAACCTTGTTCACATTTGTTGAAACATGCAACGTCAGTCTATCATTTCAACATTGTCACCAATGAATTAAAACTTTTCATCAGTGCTAAACTGGTGAGACTTAGACACCAAATGTTTTGGTATTTTGATGAAAAGCTGACTGACTTTAGACTACTTTAGCTTTGTTTTCTTGTACCACACTGTACTACAGTTACACCAGTAACATTTTGGAAAAATAACTCTATTGTGTTTCAACATATGACACTTGGATTTGTGTGTAGAGTTTTGAAAAACACACTTATGGTAAGTTACTGCCAAACAGGTGGTCAGGGTCTGATGCTGGGAGCAATACATATTACAGTTATGGATGAATATGGATGAGGACATTGTGTTCTGTCTTGATGAATAAAATGAACTTAGACAGACATGGTAATAATTCTGCCATCGCATCATTTCAGGGAAACAGGTTTAACTGATCCGTAAAACGGGCCAGCACAGTGATAAACAAAATTCCTGAGCCTGTGTGGACTTGATTCGTATTTGATGTTGATCACTTTTCATTTGGGTGCACCTGAAACTTTTCACCACACCTTTGGTGTCACAATGATACATTTAGTTATGTCACGAGCTCGAGGTAAGGGGTGGACCCAAATGCGGAGAAGGTAGCAGTGTCAAAGAATTTATTCCAAAAAAACCAAAGTCCAAACATGAGTCGCCGAAACACACATTAAACCTCACAACCAACAAACAGTGATACCACAAAGACAAGACAGAACAAGGGCTCTTTAAAAGGAATGGAACTGATTAACAATGGAGACACTGGGGTGACATGACTATCAAAACAAAACAGGAAGTGCACGGGGAAACAGAGCACAAGACAGGGAAGACTAAACTAACCAGAAACGCCCAAACCAGAAACACTCAAAACCCAGAACAGAAACCCAAAACACAGAAAACCCAACCAAGATAGTCCAAAAACCAAAAACCTGGAGCCTCCAGGCTGAGACCATGACAAGTTAGTTATAATCTGTAACTTTTCCACATGAAAATGTCTAAAAACAACTAGACCTATGTTATATATTTTGTTGAGTTGTGTTCTTCCATTATCCCAAATGTTTCCACATTTGGAAACATTCCCTCCACTTCTCTCTCTCGCTGCTGCTTCCATTGTCAAAATGTGCTTACACCCTAGGTTAGGTGTTTGGCCAGGAGGCATGTTATTGGCCAACTGGTCCATGTGAATAGCAGTGTTTTTTGAAATGACAAACAAATGACTTAATGTCAGATTCCTGTGTTTAACATAGAGAACTGTGTGAAATGTATTGCAAAAAGTGTCATGTTCAGTTGCACTTTAGGTGCAAAGGTGAAAATGTGTTTTGGAGACGTGAGCTGAGGTTTTGTTCTATGAGTGTCAGTTTCAATCATTTTGCTTTGTGTCTCATTTTAATGTGTTAGCAACTGAAAAAAAGTGTAAAAGGAAAACACGGCACATTGTTTCTAAAGAATATTTGAACAATTAATATTTTTTCTTTTCTTCTTTGTAATGGACAAAACAACATGAAGTAACAAACTCAACAGAATCTATTTATATCTCTCTCTTTACTCGCTCTCTCTCTGTGTCATCACTTAAGCTTTCTTCCTCGCTCATGTCTTGCCTATGAATCAGACAGGAGATGGACCGCCTCTCAGCCAATCGGGCCAAACCATGATTGATGTCACCATTAATTAAGAAGGATATTCTTTTATTTCAAGAAGGCCCATCTCGCTGCACAGTCAGCCTAATGACAATTACAGTTTGTTCATTAATGGATGGCTTTCCTCCTTCACTCTGATGGGTTGGATATGGAGAGAAAAAAAAAAGAAAAACTACCTGACTTCAAAATGAAAGGTTGAAAAGAATGAGCAGAGGTGACAGCAGGGCTGTTCTGCAGAGGAGGGATCTCTGTTTCTAACCTCTGAGTGACCGGCACAGTTTGGAACTGAAACAATGTAACCAGTAGTTTTCCCCAGTTCGTACAGCAATGTTTCATATTTTGAATATGAACCGTCATACCATGCAAGCTGAACAATGAGGGGTCCTAGAGGCCAAAATGTTTGGATCTTTTGGTTTACGCAGCACTTGTTGAGGGATAAAACCACTGAATAATATATATGTTAACAGTTTTAAATAAAAGTAGTCATGTAAAAATATCACATATGTCCATATGAAATGTTTTCATCATATTAATGATAAAAAATAAAACCTGCATATGCCTATATTTGAAGTGACAGGTCTTACATTGAACATGTGCCTATATTGTGAGAGTTAATCACATGTAGAATTTCTGAAAAACCACCTGTGCCTAGATGTGGTTTTCT